ATCGAATTTTTGAGCAGCAGCAGCTGCATCAAGGAAGGAGTAAACTTCCATCAAGCATCATTCAGATGATAATTCACCCTAACCAGATGCGGAAAAGCCAAATGTAAGACTCAATGGTCATGGTTGAACTCATGCCCTCTGGCAAATGGTTATTTGCAAATGTGGAATTGTTCTTCACATATGAGAACATACTCCTATGTTCTCTTGATCTTTAGAAAAAGGTTCACCCGGTTTGGCCAATATAAAGTTTTGGGAATGAACCAAAACAATTCATATAATCCTGATCTATCCGACAGTGAAATTTTGTCTTTATTGTTTTCAAGAAATGTGCTCATGTTATGATTTGTTATTGGGGGGTTCTCCAGAGCATGTCAAGGTCCTATGACGCTTTATATTTTTTCTCAATGTTTTATGAGTGTTATTATTGTTATTATTATTCTTTGAGGCACCTCGAGATACCTCCGGATGATATTGATTCCGTTGTGGACAATGAGAAGTTCCGAATTTATTGGAGCTATTCAATCCCCACCTCAGGCTCATACATGATAATAAGCCTGATATAGTTCTGCCCGACCATTTAATTATTGGGATGAAATGATGCCCTCCTTACTCTCAATTCTTAAGATCGTTCCGGCTTGCCGCACTATGGCGGAAATCTTGGCCTGTCATATGATTCTTGGACCCAATGATCGCCCATATCACAGTATGGGGAGTGGTCATTGGTTGTGAATGCTGGCTAGCCCTCCCGAATGTATCGGGGCTTCGAAGATAGGGTGTGACCCTTCGATATTATTATNTTGTGAGGAGAGTCAATTATCTGGGAGTGATACTAGATTCCAGCCTAATTTGGAACCATCATTTAGACAGAGTAGAATGGGAAAGCTAGTCCTGATATTAGCAAGAAGGGCTGAAACCGAACATATGAATTTTCATTTTGGTGGCTGGAGAGAAAATAAGCGATTTATATCAACAAAAATGCTTGTTCAGGAATGAAGAAAGCAATGAGAACCACCTAAAAACAGCTCTAGCTTGCAGGTTTTGTTGGGGTAACAAAAACGGATCTTCGATACTATTTAATCATTATCTGAGTAAAGAAAAGTAGGATGGGAAATAATTTCCTGAGCTGATTTTCGATATTCATGTCCGTGCTAGGGATTGCACATTAAAAGCAGTAATCAACTTGGCTCTTTTATAATAGTGTATGATTAGACTGATAATGAAAAGAAAAATGAAAATTTCTTATTGTATTGTATTATATTATTGTATTATTTGTAACTAACGTGACTGCAGTTTCGTCCTATACGGACATTTTCAAACTTATACAATAAGTTTATTGTATAAGTTTATACAATAAGTTCATTGTATAAGCTTGAAAATGTACAATAAGTTTGAAAATGTCCGTATAGGACGAAACTGCAGTAACGTTAATTGCAAATAAAGGTGGTAAAAAACATAGAAATTGTCATTTATCTTTTCATTATGATTTCCTACCACGTAGTACCGGCTACATCCATCAATTGATTAGACTGATACTTGCCGTAATTAGAAATTTTTGAAACGACAAGAATCCTGTCATACAACAAAAATTATATGTACATGATATATCGTGACCATAAATTGTCCTGAAAATAAATTGACTTGAATCGAAAAAAGTGACAGTCGTCAAATCGAATTATTTTTCAATATAATCATTGTTTTTATGATAATTAACCAAGTGAGCAAAAAAAATTACTGGGTATTTTTTTAAATTCCATACTTGTTTTTAACGATAGAGATTATAAAGGTAATTGCACAATATAAACAATTTTTTTGTAGGTTTCGCGAGTTATAAAAATTCCATTGGGGCATTTCATTAAGCACAATAGAAGTGAAGTACATTTACTCGATCTCAAGAAATCATGCAATTAGGAAATTTAGATGTATTCATGAAGCATGATTTGAGAAAAGCATGTCTGCTGCCGTATTTCCAGAATATACAGTAATCAGTGATGTATCTGTCTTGTTGGGAGGAGAGACGAACAGCGCATAGACTATTCGAGCAAGGCTAGAACAGAAACATTGCTTACCTACTCAATATTACCTAGTGGAATGATTAATGAGTAGTGTTACTGGGGTAGAAGTACTGGTGTTGTGGAATATTATTTTTGACTATTCAAGTATAATTAAGGAATCTGAATGCGTTAAACATGTTCAATGCGTTCCGTTTTGAGTATCGGCAAGCACTTAGGCCAGATGTGACCCATTGTACATCCTCCCGAGGAGTTGTCCTCCTAGGTCATCGTCCATTCTGTCCTTTATTCCAGGAAGGTGGACAGGTCACTAGGAGACATCTCCTTTATATCGGCAGGTGTTTCCTTAGTTGACAGAGGCCAGTCACAAATCCTACTGTTGAGCGTAGATTTTTCCTGGTCATCGCCAGATATTTCTTCAGCGCCAGCTTCCCAGGGTGATCCTGGCAAGACTGCATCTTTTGATTCCATCCCATCTCTTTAGGGATTGAGCATGGGTGTAACATTTTGCTAGTTCAGCAATTGTCGAAGTCATCAGGCCGTAGTTGTCACTGGCTTCCTTATTGGCTAAAAATTCGGCAATGCGATTAAATTTACTCCTATCGTGTCCTTTAACCCACCTTAGGATAATGTTATTATCTAACGAGGCTTTCGCTAAATCTTGGTGGCACTCTAGTACTAGCCCTGAGATAACACGTTGCCTGTTCAAGGCTAATAGGGCTTGTCTGCTATCAGTGCGGCAAGTCCATGAAACGAATATAAAAAAAAGTTTGGCTTGAAAAAATAAATATTTCAAAATGAACTTCGCAACAGTCATCTCTTAGTAGGATATGTCAAATGCAAGTCCATTGAAAAAATATTGAAAAAAGTTTGGCCTGTTTTGAAATTTTCAGATGAAATGGGTCTGATGGCCGTCTCTCGAGAAGAGATTCAAACGCACTGAAAAAATAAATATTTCAAAATGAACTTCGCAACAGTCATCTTTTAGTAAGATATGTCAAATGCTTGCAGAAAAACTTTCCTGGCTGATACCATGCCCCACACTGGATTATATCCAAGTATATGCAAGTGTTCTGAAAGAAAAAAATCTCACAGATGCTTTTCATTCGCCCAGCAGTAGGAGTTCGTACAAATCAGAGAAGTGATCAGCTACAGATCGGTTTCGTAGCATTACTCCTCGTTAGTGCAAAAATGATTCAATCTGCAAATACGAAACCATCCTCTGATATATGTGGTACCACCTCCCTACCACATATGTCGTAATAGTTTATCATCTCATTCAATTTCTATTGGAGCTTTTATGCACGAGATGCTTCCCTGATTAGAATTTGCTACTACTTTGCAGTCGTTGAGGCAGATCCTGTCTCGTAACGAAGATTTGGAACATCCTGTATTCGTATACAGGGTGTTTGAAATTCGATCCTCACCATTGGGAT